CTCTTTCCATTTTCCACTCCTATGAAGTAAACCTAGGTAATTATATTATCTTCATTTTAACATCTATGTGACTGCACTAAATGCTCATCCTTAACAAAATCATATGAACAATTTTCAAATCAACAATAATCTGAAGAGTACAAAATAATTGCACAGCACTAATAATATAGAGAAGACTTGCTAGAGAACACATAGCAGGAATAACATTTGTAAGTCCCTCATTTATATCTACAAGCACAAGGGTTATAAGTTGCCACAGTTAATATCCATACGAGAATATTTACAAGCCAGGCAATGTGAGCTTAGAAAGTCCATTTCAATAGACCATTCCAATTAGGCGAATGAATGCTTAAAAGAAGTAACAAAGGACAAAATAATCAAGCAAAAGTAAAACTCTCCTTTGCTTCATGATCTAGGAAAAGCATCACATATGGATAAATTAATTTAAATATTGGAACAAACAATAACCAAGCATAAACTTCTGTCGACACTAATTTTTCTCAGAAGATTTTGTGGATTACAACAACCACAGTTTGTTATAGGCTATGTTTTTGATTGGTAGTGAACAGAATGACATAAGCCGCCATTGTTTGGATTGTTAAAATTAAGGTGAAATGGAACATGGTGGAATCTATTCCATCCAATAGCTTGATTTTCTTCCCCCCAATTTGGGGTATGGGACGGAAACAGCTTATTATTTCCTAATCTCCTTGGCACTTCATTCACTTTCCAAAATAATGGAATGAAAGCTTTCCTCCATTTTTTCGTAAAATAATTGTATGGTAACTTTTATTCCATTCCATCTCATACCACTAATCATTAGATATGCAAACAAAGCCTCAGAGACTTAGAGTAATTTAAATACCCATGGACCGAGCAGTTAAAGGTTTAGGGTCTTAAGAAGTATAGTAATCCAGAGCAATCACTGATGAATGATTTAAACAGTTCACCACATCCATCAAGATCTCAATAGCAATGCACATAATAGCAATTACCCACAAAATCAGTAAGAGACAACTAATATATAAAAGGATGGCACTTCACAGCAAAGAAACCAAAAGTTTTAAGATAAACCCATTCTGGGACATTGATTTCTTACACAGATACAGAAGTGCCAACAACAGAACCAAATATGCCTTCAAGCAGCATGCCAATGCCCTGCATTTAGAAGGATGAAAAACAGTGTGATAAGTGTTACAAGCATATCAAGATTCAGCAAAAACATGAAACAAGTAAATTAATTGTTAAGAAGCAAGATTCACCTGCAGCCCAATGCTTCGACTGAGAACATGTGCAGGCGGTGGTGTTGCACCAGAAAGTCTGGCTGCAGCAAAGAAAGCACCAGTTGACTGCATTCAAATTTCATCAAATAAAATGCTCCGTGTAAGATCATCAGTTTGATAAAAACGGATTGAAAATAATTGTTAATCTAGAGCCCCAAAACTATGATCATTTTCCAGAGGCCAAGGTTTCCACTTTCCAAATGCCTAAAAACTTGATAATGAACATATAAATTAGTAGAACAACATGTATAATACAAAATATTAAGGAATAGTTGACAGACCTCAGCAGAAGAGACAAGTGCTGCCCCCATCATCCCAAAGACATGACTAGCTTTGAATATTGGGGTACCCCACTGGAATGGATATGGAATTTTAATCCTGGAATAGAAACAATTTGATTGTTATTATGAAGTTCTAGAAAGAGCACTCAAACTCAAATAAACCGTTGAGTTGATTATTGTCGGAACATACCAAGGAGCGGAAGACATAAGGTATGAGCGATCCGTGCGACAACTCACTTGGGTGTTTGTTTTAGCATTATTGTATGCACCAGCCACAGTTAGGATAGCAGCAAACGCCCAGACAACAGCAATGCAGAAAAGTAAAGCAAACCTCTCGAGTACTTGATGAGCAGCAGAATGAATACGCTTCATATACTGCACAAAATAAAAAGGTCATGTTAATATTGGTGGTAAAAAAGAAAATTTTAATAAATTGGTTCAGATAAGATATAAAACCTGCTGAGTTATGACCAGTAGAATGAGCATAGGTAATCCAATCTGCACACAATTTGCAAGCTGCATGGAAGAAGAAAGTTGAGTTCATGAACTCTTTATATTCATAATTCATATTTTAATAAACAACCTTTATTCAAGGAAAATGCATTAGGAACATTTACCAATGGAAAGCCCCTGGAGAACAGACCAAGACCCACCACACATACCACAGGTACAATGGTTATGGGACTAAACAACCTGATCATCAAGAAAGAAGAATCACCAACAGAATTATTAATAATTAATAATAATAAAAAATAAAGTTGTGACTTTTAATGATGCTTTCGAGAGAGGCCATGAACTGTAAAAAAAATTAGAATCAAAAGGGAAAACAAGTTAACACTGAAAAATGACATAAGTTTACCTTGTCAAATTTCCCCAAGTCTTACTAAACCCAAGGAAGATATTGACGAAAGAAGATACAATTAGGGATCCTTGAATTGTTCTGATTGTGTAGGTAAACCTCTACAAGTGCCAGTGTGATAATTCATTAGCAGTTTGATTCACCATTTTCATGTTAGAGAAAGCAATTCAGTCAACAAATAACAAGACAAGTATACACCATGCAAACTGAAGTGAGTTGAGCTAAAGGGAAAAGCAACAAAATCCCAGAACAAACATTTTTAAAGAAAACTGAGAAAAAGATAAACAACACTGAAACAAAGAAAACAATGCATTCAATTGCTAGCAAATCCCTAAAGTCAACTGCTTAAAAAATCAATAAATAGAAAGCTTTTATCGGAAACAATGGTGGAAGTCCATTTCAAACAGGATTTAGGATTAGCACTTGCACAATCTAAATAATCTTGTAAGGTAAGAGGTATCTAAGCTTTATAAACTCTTATCGAACACTCTCTATTCAATGTGGAACTTGATTTTTACTGATGGCTCTAGCTAGTAGCTACCATTCATTCATTCTACAAGTGTTGATTATGACTCAAAATCTAATGTATCATTTAAATGCTTTGTAGTCTTTCGTTTGTACAATCATATAGGTTTAGTCTATCTCCATTCGTCTGATGAGTTAAGACTATACACTCGATCAGTCTTCATTAGTATGATGGGTTCAATCTGTTTTTTTTATAAGACTTAGTTTTAGTGTCTTGGATCCCTATATATATCTATTAGGGGATCATTTCTAAGGCACAACATAGAAAGAGAAAGCGTGAATAGCACAGTGCTAAGTGTGAGCACAGAGAGCTTGAAGAAGATACATAGAGAGGAACAGAAAACTAGTTAGAGAAATCAAGGGGTTTCGAGAAGAGCAAGAGTTGGTCTGTTGTAAAGATTTGATGTTTTCAGATAGTGGGACCTGCTCTCTTTCGTGGATGTAGGACAAATTGGCTAAACCACGTAAATATGTTGTGTTCTCTTCTCTTGATCTTTTTCGTTTTGCTATAACGTTTTTTCTGCATTTACATTTTACGTTCTAGTTGGATTTTCTCATTTCTACGTTTTTTTGGTTTATTCTTGCATAGGATCTGTTCTTATTTTTTTTCTTTCTTGTTTTAGAACCAACAAGACATAACAGTATAAAGAAGACAATTTTGAACAACTCAGTACAATTGAATTCAGTAAGCACAAGTTCCAAAAGCAATTAAATAATTGTCATAACCACGAGTCAAAAACAAACAAGTCCAACATTAAAAGTTCTAAGTTACAAGCCTTAGTGATAAAAACAAACCTCATGTTCAGAAGGAAATGTCCTGTCAGTGTAATCATTTATAATGGACAATACTGGAAGAAAAAAAGCAACGGATCCACCCATCACCGTCGGAAGCCTAGACCCAAACCAAGTCTGAAGCAGTGTGTTCACCCCAGACATAAACAACAAAGATTGAATCACGCGAGCCTTGTCACCCTATCCAAAAATAGCAAACTCTGTTATTGTCATACCATACTAATCTATGCTAGACAAACTAAAGCAACAAAAATAGTAAAGTATAATACAGAGTTTGATTGGATACAAGAGCATTTCTATTGAAAATAAAGAGTTTTTTTTTTCAGTAGTAAAGCTCTCAAAGCACTTTTGACTAGCTTCCAAACAGACTTGCAATCTATATAATCTATAATCTATATATTATAAATTTCACTTACAATTCACCCAAAAAAAAATTCACTTACATGGTTCCCACCCATTAGAGGCACGAGCGTGGTTGCAATCAGAACCGTTGTTCCAAGCATCACAATGTAGTGCTGAAAACCCAGTAGAAGCGCTTCCGCTGCCAATTTGTGTTTTTCACGCAATCAAAAGGTGAAGCTCAAAGATGCATGCAGAATCATAAAACTAAATACTAGGAAGAAGGAAAAAAAAAAAAAAAAAAAAAAAAAAAAAAGAAGAAAAAAAAAAAAAAAAAGAAGAAAAAAAAAAAAAAAAAGAAGAAAAAAAAAAAAAAAAAGAAGAAAAAAAAAAAAAAAAAGAAGAAAAAAAAAAAAAAAAAGAAGAAAAAAAAAAAAAAAAAGAAGAAAAAAAAAAAAAAAAAGAAGAAAAAAAAAAAAAAAAAGAAGAAAAAAAAAAAAAAAAAGAAGAAAAAAAAAAAAAAAAAGAAGAAAAAAAAAAAAAAAAAGAAGAAAAAAAAAAAAAAAAAAAAAAAAAAAAAAAAGTGTCACAGTCTTTTGGTTAATTTTTTACACACCGACTCACACAAAAGATTCACAACACTGACAATAGCAAAAAACAAAGAACCTTTTTTTTCTCAAGAGAATCAGAATGGAATAAAGGGAACAAAAAAAGGAATCCACAAACAAATCAACCAAGTTATTTTAAGGTTTAAGGTTTGACACGAGATTCCTAATTCTAACTGCTTTCAGCATCACACGTAACTTTTTCTCTTCAAAAAAAGTCAAAAGGTGAGAGAGAGACTAACGCCACGAAGGGTTGGAGTGGATGCAATACTGAAGTTGCGAGAGTTGCTCAGCTGGATTCCAGACAGGCCCTCTGGAGAGTGCTAGATTCGGCGGCGGCGGACCCGGCGGAGGCGCCTGAACCGGCGGCGGTGCATGGTGGTGCTCTTCGCCCATCTTAGTGTAATGAAAAAGCAGAGAAATGAAGAGGAAAAAGGAAATGGTGAGTGGATTAATGAAAGTGAGGTTTCTTTTACTTTTTAGTTATGTTATGTAATTAAAAAAGTACAAGGAAAATAGCGAGGAAGGAGTTAATAAGGTTGCGTTTTGTGGTTGTCGTGTTGTGAGAGAAGCATTTTTTATCTTTCTTCGTTTTTTTTTTTTTTTTATTATTTGAGTTGTTGGAGTTAATGAGAGAGTATGGGTTGAACGGAAACGCGTGGATCTGCGGTGTTCATTACGGTCTTCGAGGTCTTTCAAATCGAACCTCCTCAGTCCTCACGCTACACGCACCCTTTCGCGTTCTACTACCACCAAATTACCATTATGCCATTATTTTCAGTGCCATGCATCCTTAGTTCATTACCGACACCCTCCGTACCAATATTATAAGTTCTATCATTGAAAATTACATAAATTCACGATAAATTTGTTAAATAGAATGTGAAATAAACTAAATTTAGTAGTATTTTTTAATAAATTAGAACTAATTAAAAAAATATATTTAAAAGTGTATCTTAGAAAATTATATCATAATTAATTTTGCATATGCCATGTTACTCTTTGCTCAACTCAGACTCAAAGGTCAGCATGCATTTCATGCCTCATGGGTT